GAAAATAAATACAGTGATAGTCAGGCTCACTCTGAACACATATCAATTGAAAGAATGAGCTAACCTATAAAGGAACACTTTTTATGAGTGTTGGATTATTGGACACAGTGGAAGTGCTAGGACGCATTTTGTTGTTATATATACACACACACACACACACACACATACATATATTTTATATATATATATATATATTTTATATATATACACACATACACACACACACATTAAATAAAAAAAAACAATGAATATAAAACATTAATATGAACATTTATAAACATTAATAAATTATTTATAATAATTAATGTACAATACAAACGTTTATGTACAAAAATAATGTATTTACAAACTAAAAATAAAATGTAAAATACCGGTAAGCTAATTATAAAGGAACCGTCGGTATGACAGCTTCTTTACATGCATTTTGACTGCTCTCAGCACCCGTACCGTAAGTACACAACTACACGCGCAAAAAAAAAAAAAAATGCGGCTGGCTTGACCGTGCATTTTCAAAGCGCGGCTGGCTTGACCGCAGTCATGCAGTGGCTGAAGTACAAAGAATGAATTCATGTGATTCATTGAGTCGTGTGACGTCACAGAGGTGAAAACATGCAGTTACATTGTAACAAACACATTACTGAAACATTACTGAAACGCGTTTCAGACAGAAACGAAAGCCACGCTGCGCTAGAAACCCACAAAGTCTTTGTTCTGTGTCTGTGAGCAAGTACTTTGTCCTGGCAGGGACAGAGATGTTATGCCATGAAGATACAGAACCAATCAATAGAACGATACGTATAATCCACATTATGAAATTAATAAGTGCAAAAACATCAAAGAGCAGACGGGTCTAAAATACTATAATATTCTATACACCAATCAGCTTTTGTGATTTTGTGAGAAAAACAAACTGTCAGACAATTTACCTTCGTTTACCGTCGCGGGTGTTTTGATATTCGCTTCGCGTCCGAATCTTCCACAGAAATCACCCAGTGTTTCTTATGATCCAGATGCACATCAGCTGTTGCAGAGTATTATGCGTTTCTTCCGAGCAGAACAGGACATGACTGTGGAGTCACAAGGGACTGACGCAAAATATTGATGTTCGAATCACGAGCGCATTGTGTTTCAACCGGTTCTATTGAGTGATTCATTCGAACCGATTCGCAAGGAGATTTAAATCGGTCTACAGTATGAGAGGCTTTAGGCAGAAAAAAACAGTGAGGTGGGTGACATGGTAGAGTGTTTACCAACACAACAAACAATAATATTTGACTAAAATGTACTGTACTACAAAATGCCACGTACAGTCTTAGAACCCCTTTGAGCAATAAGTGAATCAGTTTTTGAACCGTTTGAATTTAAATGAGCCGTCCGGACGAACCGATTCACTAAAATGAATCGGACTTCCCATTACTAGCTCAGCTGAAAAGCCCTCCCTCTCCAAGATGGCGAGGAGGAGGAAATGAATTAAACGAATCCTCCACTTAACAGCAGCTAGTTTATACAGTGTTCTACATTTTATTTCTAATATCGCGTTTTGGATAAAACATACAAGCCAACAAAACTAAATAATTATATATAAAAACAACTTTTCCAGCCACATTCAAATTATGCATAGCCCATATGGGTATGCACGCACAACTAAAGAATTAAACGAGTGAACTTAATGTAATTATACAACTTTTTATACAACTCAAATTTATCTGAAAGCGCATGTATGATAAGTTTAATCGGGAAAAAACAGGACAGGGAGAGGCTCTTCCTGTGCTGGTTTTTGCCTTAGGTCCTCGTCCCTCCCATGTCATGTGATTTGCACATTTTGATAATTTGTGTCTAAATTCTGACTCATTCACACTTCCTCAATACCTCTCCAAGCCTACTTCCCTAACTCGTATCTTTTTCATCTGTCATATGATTTTACACAAACATCCTAATAGATTCAACGCATTTCGAACCTTTTTTGATGTTATGAAACTGTTTTTTCTCTCGTAATTCCATAAGAATTACCGATATCCTAATGCTACTGTGATACTGAAGCCCACCTATGAAATAGTGTAGGGGTCCTGATGTTGGAAAGGGGCGTGGAGAAGCGGCCATGACACGTTATGATCGATATGTCTTTTATCCAATGAGCTGAAAATAAACTCCAACGTCATCAATACATTAGCCAATCAAATTATTTGTAGCCGACGCTGGATCCGTCTTTGACAGCCTACTGTAAGGGCGTAGAAACGCGAAACCTCAAAACATGTTGGTCTTCCCGTGACTGTACGTTGTGTTTTCCATATTTCCAGCATGACAGTGAGCGTTATAACGCTCTGATTGTGTAATTCTGTAGAAGGCTCGACACAGCGCATTACGGTGAGGTATGTAGCCTGTTTTGCTAATGTTTATATGGTTTCTCCTGTCATGTAGCCTTGTTCTGCTGGCAGCAGCACACCCTGCAGGGCTGATGTCCGCCGTGAAATATTCAATATAACTGCAAATTAAATATCATATTAGTCTAATTTTGTTGCACGAATGGGTAATTTGTGCAGACTTGTGCTTTTAATGACTATATGCATATGTATGTTTATATATGTGTGAGTGTGTGTGTGTGTGTGTGTATATATATATATACACACACGTCACATGTAAAATAATTAGATTTGACAATACAAATTATTTTACATGTGAAGCGTAAGATACACACACACACACACACACACACACACATATATATATATATATGTATGTATGTATGTATGTATGTATGTGTGTGTGTGTGTACTGGTTTATATATCCTGGTGGGGACTTAAACCTGACTTACACACAGACTCGTGGGGACTCGTGTCACGGTGGGGACCTAAATTGTGGTCCTCACGGGTACAAAAGCTTATAAATCATACAGAATGAAGTTTTTTGCAAATCTAAAAATGCACAAAGTTTCCTGTGAGGGGTTGGTGTAGGGCAATAGAAAATACGGTCTGTACAGTAGAAAAACCATTACGCCTATGGAGAGTCCCCACAAGGATAGCTGACCAGACATGTGTGTGTGTATGTGTATGTGTATGTGTGTGTATGAGTTTATGATTTAAACATTAACAGACCTGCCAGTGGAAAAATAAACCACATTGGCAGATATTTGTACTTGTTTCTAGTATAAACTTGGGCACGATTTTATGAGTGATCATACAAAATATCATTATATTTTAAACGCTGAAAAAGTTCTTGCTGTGAAAAATCAGGAAATATGTATGTATCTCTATTGATGAATGCTTTACACCCAGTGCATCACCCCCCCTCTTTCATAGATGGAAACTCTGATTCCCATCATTAACAGACTGCAGGAGGTTTTCCTCACAGTTGGAGCCGAGATCATCCAGCTTCCTCAGATCGTAGTCGTGGGGTCACAGGTGAGTCATGACAAACATGCAAGGTGTGGATTTGAGTCTATATGCAGTGTATTAAAATATAAACCGTCACTACTTCAGGCGTGATCTTTGTTTTGTGATAATAAATCTTCAACGTCATGAAGTAGGCCTACATGTAAACACAGTTCCAGTATTTCTGTTGGTCTCTTCAAATGAATCTCCAGAGCAGTGGAAAGAGTTCAGTACTGGAGAGTTTGGTTGGACGAGACTTTCTGCCCCGAGGTTCAGGAATAGTGACTCGGCGCCCTCTAGTGCTACAGCTGGTGAACGTGCCTCCGCTGGAGGAGAGGCGGAAACAAGACAATGGTAACAGCTTACAAGTGTCTCTCTTTGAAGGGTTTACTGTATTGACTGCAGACACAAATATTGTGTCTAAAAAAATAGTGGTCTTTTTACCTAAACAGTGTTTTGGGGCATCAAAGACATGACTGTGATGCCTGGAAATGCTTTCTAGGTAACTTACTAGATTTTACGACACACCTGGAAAGTTTTGAACATATTGAAAAAAAAAACAGTTTTTCACACAAGAACATGTCTAGCACAGTAGTGCTTGCTTTGCATACCTTGAAATAGAAGTAGGCCAAGTATTGTTTCAGTGTTCTTAAAGTAAAACATGTTCTGGGTTTAGTAGTAGAGCATATTTGCTAAAACACACACCATAATACAAAAAAAATATTGCCATAATACATCAATATTTTACGTGGTAATAAAAAACGTACTAGTTAATTGAAGTTGGTAAGATTTTTTATTTGTTCAAAAATTCAGTCAAAACAATTACAGTTGAAAATGTTTTAATATTTAAAGAAAATGTAATTTATTCCTGTAATCAAAGCTGAATTTTCTGCATCATTACTCAATCCTTCAGAAATCAATCTAATATGATGATTTGCTGCTCAAGAAAGGTTTATTATTATTATTGTTATTATCGATGTTAAAACAGTTGTGCTGCTTCATATTTTTGTGGAAACTCTGATACATTTTTGTCAGGATTTTTTGATGTATAAAAAGTTTAAATAAAAATCTTAACATGCCATTATAAATGTTGTTAATGTTACTTATGACCAATTTATTCCTGAATAAAAGTATTAACTTAAGTAATTAATTTATTTAAAAAAAATTGTTGATACCAAAATTTATGAACAGAAGTTATATATTATATATTTGTAGTTATTATATATAAAATGAAGCATGCTAACAAAAAAGAGAGCTTCATATTTCTTAGGTATGTGCATCATATTTCTTAATATTTCAATGGGTTTAATTTTTAAACCTCCTGGGATGTCTTGTCCCATAGACTTTTATTTATTGCTTTATTTTTTCACACATACTGTAGATCTTAACTCGTATTGAACCCGGAATGTTCCTTTTAGCATCCGCTCTCAGACAATGTTGATGTGTAAATGTGTTCCTAATCCACTTACAGTAGCGTTTCCTCCTAACGCTCTCTCTGCTGTCCTCTCTGTGCTTTCTCAGGGAATGGAGCTCAACACAACAGCCAAAACAATTATCCAGGTCTCTGTTTTCAACACGTGTTCGTCTGTCCATTTCATTCTTCTGGTGTGCTTCTCATCCCACAGCTCTTCCTCCGTCTTCTGTTTCGCAAATGTCGTTTCCTTATAACCTTTATAATCTTTTTTTCCATCTGTTATGCTTTCATTTCTAAATCCTCCTGGTATTTTTCCTGCACTTTGAGACTAGAGCAAATGCATGTTTGGGCTTCACTCTCTTGTGTACCAACTGCAACATTTCTGGTTGAACATTGATTTCACATTTCATTTTCTTTGCCTGTAAAAAGCTTTTATTTCCGTTGAGGTCTTTTATGGGAATAGGGTTTCTGCTGGGTTCAGTGTCATGCATATTGATTTTGTGCATTGTCTTGTGTGCTCTCTCGCTCTTTGGTTCTTCTAAAGGTATCAAAGCAGAAGAATGGGGCACTTTCCTTCACTGCAAAAACCAGGTAATTAAAGAGTTGGAGTTCTTGTTGAAGAAATAGGTCATTCAGAATACGTCATAGCTTGTTATGATGAGCCTGCACTCTATTGAGATGCGGTTCTCTCTTTGCTCAGATTTTCACCGATTTCAGTGAAATCCGGAAAGAGATCGAGGAGGAAACGGATCGCAGTACCAATAATAAGGTGCAGTGGAAGCGCTTCATATAGTTTGACATACTCTCTCAGGCTCTGTTTTAATTGATCTCTTTTTCCTCCCCAGGGCATCAGTCCAGAGCCCATTTACCTGAAGATATATTCCCCTAACGTACTCAGTCTGACGTTAGTTGACTTGCCTGGCATCACTAAGGTAACCACAATGACTGGACATGTCCGTTTACCATGTAATGCAAACAAACCCATTTGCTTAAGGATAAAAAGCAGAATTGAAATCAAATGCTGTTAATTTAACATGTTATTTTAGTACTATAAAGTCTATAAAAATACAATTATACCAATAAAATAAATACGAGTTCAAGAAACTAACTTCTCGGAGTAAATGACACCACATACAATGTGCTCGTGTAACTGATTTATTATTCTCACATAGCCAGATTTTGACTAGTAGTGTAAAGTCTGGTCCACATTCCAGCTTATTATGATCAAAAGACTGCCACTTATAGACAGGAAGAGCATCTAACTGATTAAAACGACCAACCACAGTTTTTACATGATGTTTAGAGACAATTAAATCTGAAATCAGACATTGATAGTGTGGTTAAAGTCCCCATGAAATCAAAATTAAAGTTTTTTGGGTGTTAGTATCAACATGTTAGTCTTAAGGTTATCTATAAGGCAGTGTGCTCCAAAACGGTGACAAAATTCGCAATTAGAAGATATAAGCATTCAAAGGTTGCAGTTCGTCACTTCCGCCAAAATGGCTCTACGATTTTTTTGACGTCACATCGTACTTCAGCTTCTCATCAAACTTTCTGTCCAATCAAATGCTCTCTAGAATCCGAAGTGCCCGCCCCCTACACTATAAAATAGACGCTGAAGCCGCGGCTGAAATCGGTCACTTGTCCTCAGAATTAGTATTTTCTGTACAGTGAATGTCACGTAGTGCACTATATAGGGGACAGGGAACGATTCAAACAGTGTAAATATGCTTTCCATTGAGGAAAAAAAGAAGTCTGGTTTCGCGCTGTGTCACGCTAACCATCGCACCGCACACACACTCTGCTCCGGTCCAGAGACACGATAGCACGGAGCGGATCACATGCGCGAGTCGGCTGCAGACCACAAAATGTATCGGAGCTATTTTAATTCTACACAGAATGCTATATTTTATAGCAATGTGGATGAGATTGTGGCTGGCATACCCTGTCAAATGCGGCTTTACGGAGCTCAACGGCTCTGAACGGCTCTAGCCCAAGCTGTGATATAAACGACCGCTATTGGCTATTTTAAAAAGGGGCGGGGCTGCTTGATATGTCCCGCCCTGTCTTCCTGTTTCAGTTAAAATGACGTCAACACATAGAGTAACGCTGCGTGTTTCTAAGCATTTCAGGGGTTCTTTAAAGCATAACTGATTTACATTCAGCCTATTTTCAATATCTTTTCGAGATTTTGAGCACTGCATCTTGACAAACTTCACTAGTCAAATCCAGTGTCTAGTTCTTTCTAAATGAAATGAAATTAAAATCATCCGGATCAGGATCCACTCCTAACTCGAAGTGAGTATATCAAACGCTTTACAATGTGGAGACTGGCCAATTATTTCAAATATGTGACCCTGGAGCACAAAAGCAGTCTTAAGTCGCTGGGGTATATTTGTAGCAATAGCCAAAAATACATTGTATGGGTCAAAATTATCGATTTTTCTTTTATGCCAAAAATCATTAGGATATTAAGTAAAGATCATGTTCCATGAAGATATTTTGTAAATTTCCTACTGTAAATATATTAAAACTTAATTTTTGATTAGTAATACCCCTTAACTGTGACCGTCCCACCTGTGGGACGCTTGGCGCTCTTTTTTTTTGTTGTTGTCCTTTTTCTCTATCAAATGTTTTAGTAATCATCATAAATTATATATCGTTTGAAAGCTAAGAAGCCCAAGATTCATACTGGGAAAACCATTTTGAAATCGGACATTGCATTACCATGGAAATGGTACTTTAAAATATTTTGGCGGTCTACTCCCCCTTAGCGGGCGGTGTCAAGTGTCATGTTTCAAAATGTATTACGGTCTTTTACAATCAAAACTTTTTATAATCTTGACAAAAAACATATCACTAGAAAGGTCTGAGTTTAGGATTCCATATTTGGTAGTTATTTTGTGATAGAAGCAAAATTGGCAGAGAAATTTCAACATATGTTACAGAAAAATGCATTAAAAAAATTCAATGGAGTTTGGATGGCACCCGGTGGCTGTTTGTGGTATAACGTCCTAAATAAAGTGATCCATTACTCAACGCTGCAAAAACACGTAGAAACATTTGAAGCTCCCCTCAGCGCAATCACAAGTATGATGATGATCGGGTCAGTCGCACTGGTGCTCCTAAAAAAATTTTCATAGTCGCACGCAGTAGTTTTCAGTCGCAAATGCGACTGAAATGGTCGCACTGTAGAGCCCTGCTGTTATGTAAAATATTTATTATAAAATATAATAAAATTAGTCCAGTGTATTTTCTTTACAATAAATTTAAACTTCTATAACTTTTTGATACTTTAATTTTTTGAAAAAATTCCACTTTTGCCATAATCTGCAGATTGTCTTCTTTAAAAAAGACCAACCTTAGGTCTGTATTCCAAAGTGTTCATAAATTACAACAATTTAAGTTTGGATAGTGCACTTTCATGCCTATTTAAAAAAATGCGGGGTGACAGTTAAGGGGTTAATTTGGACAACTTTAAAGGCGATTTTCTCAATACGGGTCAGTCGCACTGGTGCTCCTAAAAAAATTTTCATAGTCGCACGCAGTAGTTTTCAGTCGCAAATGCGACTGAAATGGTCGCACTGTAGAGCCCTGCTGTTATGTAAAATAATTATTATAAAATATAATAAAATTAGTCCAGTGTATTTTCTTTACAATAAATTTAAACTTCTATAACTTTTTGATACTTTAATTTTTTGAAAAAATTCCACTTTTGCCATAATCTGCAGATTGTCTTCTTTAAAAAAGACCAACCTTAGGTCTGTATTCCAAAGTGTTCATAAATTACAACAATTTAAGTTTGGATAGTGCACTTTCATGCCTATTTAAAAAAATGCGGGGTGACAGTTAAGGGGTTAATTTGGACAACTTTAAAGGCGATTTTCTCAATATTTAGATTTTTTTTGCACCCTCAGATTCCAGATTTTCAAATAGTCTCTACCAAATATTGTCCTATCCCAACAAACCGTACATCAATGGAAAGCTTATTTATTCAGAAAAATTTTGAAAAATTGACACTTAAGACTGGTTTTGTGGTCCAGGGTCACATATATTCTAGCAGAGTATTCATTGTATTATTAACTTCTCAATTATTTATCACTACTTCAAGGAATAAGTAACTCAAAAATGAATGTTCTGTTGTCATTTACTCCTGATTTTATTATAAACTAGGATTAAATTTTTATCTTTGGGACACAAAAGGAGATATTTAATACATATCCGATTGGGTAAGTTTAATACAGTAGCTAAAAAGGTCTGTTGTCTTTTATCAAAGAGCACACACAGAAGTCACTTTCAAACTAAGTGTTTTTCCATTGTTCAACAGTGAATTTGTGTGAGGAACTTAAACCTGTTGGGAAATCTTTTGAGCTCATGCAAAATTCTTGATCGCATGGATTCCTATTGAGATGACAGGATTTTACACACTCAAATTCTCTGAACAACAAACAATGTGTATGCACTGAATATAATTGAAATCCATTGCTTCTAGGGCTGCAACAACAAATCACTAAAGTCAATTTTTATCGGTAATGAAAACAATTGACAACAATTTGTTTTCAATTAATTGCGTCTGCCCATCTGCTGGTCATGTGAGTTTAGAGAACTGAATAACATATTTCTATGGACAAAATGCATATGACATATAGAAGAGGACACAGAGAGAGCTGCTGCTGGAAAAGTGCATGACCCAAGTTGTCCTGTACGTAAGAATACTTTATAGCATACTTGACAGATATGTGTTCTATTTAAAGCATTTGAGATGTGTTTTCATCAGTGCATAACTTACATTTCACAGTTGTATCCTTATCTGTAAATGTTAAAAAGTCATGCTATTATTTCCATTTTGCATAAAGGCTAGTCCTGAAAGCTAGCAGATCTCTGTAAACTTCACAGACTTCACTGAATGAACGTCTGTGTATGTGTTTCAAGCAGACAGAGCACCCAAAGAATATATATTTTCAAATATATATTTTTTTAATTTGAAAATATACAAAAATGGTCCAAAAATATATATTTAATATATAATATATGTATGTAACTATATTTTCTACCAATATATTTTTTTGGCCATTTTGTTTTGAAAATATAATATAAAAATATAAATATCTTTATAGATTTTGCCCTATGTAATTAAAAAAAAATAAAAAATACATTCACGTCACATTTGAAGAAAAACTTCATTTCTTGTATATAAAGTGAACATTTAAGTAAAATCCAGCAAGAAACATATTTTAAAAATGCTATATTAATATAAAAAATTAAACGCTATTAACATATTTAGCATATTAAAAATATATTTTGGCCACAAAGATAAGTAACACTTATCTTTGTTACAGTACTTTTAAAAATACAAACAGAGCACCCAAAGAATATATATTTTCAAATATATATTTTTTTAATTTGAAAATATACAAAAATGGTCCAAAAATATATATTTAATATATAATATATGTATGTAACTATATTTTCTACCAATATATTTTTTTGGCCATTTTGTTTTGAAAATATAATATAAAAATATAAATATCTTTATAGATTTTGCCCTATGTAATTAAAAAAAAATAAAAAATACATTCACGTCACATTTGAAGAAAAACTTCATTTCTTGTATATAAAGTGAACATTTAAGTAAAATCCAGCAAGAAACATATTTTAAAAATGCTATATTAATATAAAAAATTAAACGCTATTAACATATTTAGCATATTAAAAATATATTTTGGCCACAAAGATAAGTAACACTTTATTTTACTGTGTCTTTGTTACAGTACTTACTTTTAAAAATACAAAAAATATAGGAGTGCAATAATTCTGATTTAATACATTTTGTTAAAATATTTCTTGTCAGACATTAAATGTAGGTTTAAAAATTTAGTTTTTCAGGTCTAGCCTTATAAAAAACAGAAATAAAAGTGTCACTTTATTTGCACATAATGTATAGCTTAGCCTACTTGGATGCATTCACTATATTTGTTTTCAGAGCCTTCAAATTGCACATTGTTTGGAAGACAACATTGGGCGGGATGTGGAATTACATTTTTAATAATGGGTTAAAATATTTTTTTATTGCATGTTAATAATTAGTGATATTATTTGGATTTTTTAAAACCAAGAAATTGTTGCATTAAAGTTGCAGCCCTAATTGCTTCATTCACCCGCTCATTCTTCGTCACGTGATGTGATCTGTTTTGAGTAGGTCCCTGTTGGTGACCAGCCTGAAGATATCGAGACTCAAGTGCAAGAGATGATTCTGTCCTACATCTCCAACCCCAACTCCCTCATCCTGTGTGTCTCTCCTGCAAACTCTGACCTCGCCACATCGGATGCCCTTAAACTGGCACGAGAGGTGGACCCAGATGGTGAGCGACATGCAGGGAATGTCCGGATGTGATTATTACACATTGAGCAGCGCTGTGGTATTCATTGGCTGTGTGCGCTCAGGTCGCAGGACGCTGCTGGTGGTGAGTAAGCTGGATCTGATGGACGCGGGGACAGATGCTCTGGAGGTGCTGCTGGGCCGGATCATACCCGTCAGACTGGGCATTATCGGTGTGGTTAACAGGTCAGCTACCCTATTACCTCTTACCCTGTCTGGATTTTACATGTAACTTTTAAAATAAAATTTTAGATCCAAAATTCAATCTCCAAAGCAGCAGACTGATATCTTAGTTGTTATTCACTGATAATCTCCCCTTTGTATCGGAATCCAGTCATAAAAATTGAATTTACTGTATAACGCGGAATGTCACAGAATTTGTCAAAGTTTGGATGAATTAATCAAAAGTAGGTCATTACACTTCAATCAAATTGCGATATGGACTAGTATCTGTAAATATTAAGCAGCCAAAAGACTATTTGAATATGAATCGTTCATGTCAGTCCAGAACTGCCCTGAGAGTTTCTTCATGAGCATTTGACCTTTTCTTTTGAGAGAAACTATCGTCATATCATATACACGCAGAAATGTAAAGGTATTCACGGCAACCCGTCAAAATAAAAGTTTAGTTTAACTTGAAGACATTACTATTGTTTAGTAGAATGTAAGTAATACTACTACTACTGTTACTAAAAAAATTATTACAACTTTATTTTATTAAGCAATAATTACACATTTCTTGTACTAGTATATTTCTTCTACTAGTAACTTTGTTTGCCAAAAAATAAAGTTTGTTTAATTTTCATTTGATTAAATGTTAAATTCAATGAATATGTTATACCTTCTTTTGATAACCAGAAAAATGTAAATACAAAACACAAAAGTGCAGTATTCCACTGTATTGCATAGATAGATATAACATATAACTGAATAAAAGTCTTCATGATCTCTCACACACACACACACACCTGTTTACTGTACACACACACAAAATTTTACTGTTTGCATTTCTAGTACAACCCTCTTTCCTTAGCTCAAGTATGCAAACCTCTTTGCCACATGCACTGGAAAATGTATTACATTGAAAGTTAAATTTTCATGATCTTTTTATAAAGTATGCGTTCATATATGTGCTTCATTTTCACTGGAGGAAACAGCTGTGGTGTGATGAGGGGTGAACGCAGCGAAAACTTAGGCTACAGTAGATGGGGAACCGATTGATATTTTGTAAACTGTATTTATGACAAAGAACAGAACAGCACAGATGCAGATATTATTATAACAATCTATCGTTAAACACACACCTTGTCCTCTGTTTCTCGCTCTGCGCGCTGCGGTCAGCGGATTGAAAAAGAACGTGCTGAAAGATGGGGAGGAGTCGATCGAAGTCTGCCGCCGTTTTCATATGAAATTTAAAGGGGACTGAGGCGATCACGAATTCGTGTACAGTTTATGGAGCTAATCGCAAAATTTTAGGGGGGCTGAGTAGTCCCATGATGTTGACGTCAACGTGAAACATTAGCATATTGCCCGCCCACTTGTTGGTCTTTTCGCCTTGGTCTGAATGAAAATGCAAATTCATTCTTTGCCACTAGGTGCTGCTTCTGGAGTGGTAAAAATAGCGGTTTCCCCGGTAACGCTGTACACAAAGCAGCACTGCGCTCACAAACGCTGCTTTATCAGACATTACAGGTGAGATGAAATGGAAATGAGACCAATCAGACCAATCACCGCAGATTAGCGTCACGCAAAGGAGGGGTTTGGAAAAATTAATCGTTAAACGAATCGTTTGGGAGTCGTTGAGCAAGTAAGGTAAAATTAAATGCATATTATAAGACAATGAAAGTGTTTTTTGACCTTGCATGCATGTCAACCTGTTGTTGGGGAAAAATATGCCAAAAAATATGCCAAGAAACCAAAATATGAACCTTTCATTACCCATAATAGGGGCACTTTAATAAATTAAGTTGTTTCTGTGCATTCAAATAATTAGACATGCTTTAACAGAGTTTGGTAACAATAAAACAGAAGGTGGGAAAAAAAAAAAAAAAGAACATTTCATAGGGCCCTAAATGTAATTTTTGTTAAACTTTGAATAAATTGATGTTAAATTATACGAGTTTCATAATTTTAATTAATTAGACTTGCTTTTTGATAAATACAATGTTATTTAACCATTTAAAAAAAAAGTCCAGAAAAATTAAAATGGAAAGAAACAGAATTTGGGAAAAAATAAAACGGATTTCATAGGGCCCCACTTGTAGCATGGGGGTAGCTTGGCATTTGAGCATGAGAGGGCCAAACTGAGAAAGTCGATTTGGTCAGTCACACTTTTAAACACATTTTAGCTGTATAGTAAACCTACAAACTCACACTTCGTGTACCTTATCCAAGTGATTTTACTGTGATAATAATGCAGACTAGCAGCAAGCATTTGAGATTGTAACTGCAAACAGATGCATCACAAGTGAATTACTTGTAAGGGCTCTTTCGCCACAATAAACTGAGCAAGAAGGCTTTGAAAATAATGCAACACTATCTCAAAGTAGACTTTTATAAGCAGATCAACTAACCCACTGTTTTAAAACATTTGCTGGGCAGGATTCAAATTAAATGCACAACGGAAGGCACACAGACACTTTATATTTAGTAAATCTTCCTGAAAATAGATTATTAAGCAGTTTATATTCTAAAATGTAAAAAACGGGTTTTGTTCCGTGGCTATTATTCACCAAAAATGCAGATTAGTCACGTGACAACAACTTTTTGCAAATGTTAGTAAGTTTAATCTGATGCATTAATTTATTTACAAAATAACAATTTAACATGTATTAAAATACCAACATTATATGCATGTTTACTTTTGAGTTGAAAATATTATTTTTTATAAATATTTAGTTTTTCAGCCCCCAAATTTTCAATTTTATTTTCATATTAATTATCCATTGTCATTAAATTGTAATGTTAATGCTGTAAAAGCGCATATGGAGAACTCCACATATCATGTATGTGTAGCCTACTTTTAAACTGTGAATTAAAATATCCACAAGAAACGTGAGTTTTAGTTTTTTTTTTTTAGTCCACTGTATTTGAATCATTTAAGCTGTTTAATATGATTTTAATGTATTATTAAATTATTACTGTTAATAATAATGTGTTTAGAAAATTCAGATACAGAAACACTACTGTTCAAAAGGATTTACTGCAATAATATATATTAATATTTACTAGTATTTAATAATTTGTCATATTTTTGACAGTCTCTTATTCTCTTATTTTAGCTGGTGAAAATACTAGTGTTCTAATAATTTTGGCCACCACTGTATAAGTAATAAAAATAACAGCATTTATTTAAAATTGAGAATTTAAAAGTTGACTGTTACAATGTAATTTTTTTTCTGTCGCTTTTGATCAATTTAATCATGTGTCCTTGCTTAAAATGTACTTTAAAAACTTCCTATCTAAAAAAAAAAAAGATCCCAATTAAAAAGAAAAACCTTTGACTGTACTATGTTTTTGTTGTTTTCTGTGCAAACATCATAGACGCCTCTAGCACTTTTAGCAACATGGGTGGTCATTTCACCTCGAAACTGCACCAATTTGGACCTGCAGCAACGTATTTCACATTTCGCAAAAGTGCAGTCTGTTTTTTTCTCATGAGGCCGAGTAGATCATTACAGAACTCAATTACATACTGTATGAAGTCCTAGAGGCAGAGCAGCAAAAACAGCCTGTTTAAGCATAAGGGTCAGCGAGAGGGCGGAAAATGACCATGTAAAACTACATCACAACATGCACATGAAACCTTGAATAACATTTTAAGTAGTGCTGGGCGGTATGACCAAAAATTTATATCACAATATTTTTCAAAATTATACCGGTTTCACATTACATAACAGTATTTTTTTTTTCATGCATGACCGGGTGCTAACCATATTTTCTACTGATTGAGAGAGGAAATACTGCAGTATATTGACTTAGAATGCCCTATTTTACTGTCATGATGAGTGAATATTGTCAAAAAATACCACACTAAATAGTGACTAAACACGACCCCTTTTAATACATGTTAACCAGGAGTCACTCTCATTTATAATCGCGGCATCGTCTGATAAAATCAACATGCATCTACACTAAAGAGCGGCTATGCGGTTGTTTTGGCTGCACCTGCGTCTGAGTAACAAACTAAAAAAAAAAACTGGACCCCTTTCAAACAGTGTCGCATTCCGAACGTTGTTTAAGCGACATACACCGGTATTGCGGTATTTTTAAAATTCATATCATAACAAAAATAAACACCGGTATTCGGTATGAACCGGTATACCGCCCAGCACTAATTTTAAGTGCACCTCAGGGGAAAAATAAAGTGCTACAGAAGCCCTTTTGACTGCAGTAGAAACTTAATCAACCATGTGAAAAAGCATTGCAACATTTTAACATTGTAATTTTCTTGCGTTTCCAGTTCCTCTATCATAACCCTAAGCAGCAGTGACTGTAATATTCCCTACACCGTTATCCTCTCCTCTCCCGCCCTGTCCATTCATGCACTAGCACCCAAGGGTACCGTGTCTTCCCGCTATCAGCAACCAGAGAGCCAAGTTTGAGATAAATCACTGGTTTATTCAGCTTTGGCTTTAGCATGTCCTTCAGGGCCTGTACGAATACAGGAGGCACTTTAGTTGGGGAGAAGAACTGCAGTGACACTTTTCATTTCTCGACTCTCGTTAAGTTAATTTAGACGTAGTTGCGGGCCGTCGTCTCTTCAGTGAACACTCCTAAGAGAGTGTTTATGGAAAGCAAGCACTGGCGACAAATAAAAGACGTTTTCGGTACAATGTATTGGTCAGTCATTTTCGTTTTATCTGTAGTGTTTGCTAAGGGAAGCATCAGTGTTACTAATACTAGAGTGACATTATTTTGAATTTAAAGTATTTTAAATGTATGTAGTGAGTGCAAGTGTAAAAGTATACCAAATGTAATCCATAAAAGTAATAGTTTAGCATTGTAATTTTAATAAAATCCTGTGCATTGAACTTCTCTGGGTTTGGTGTAGAAACCCTGCAATAAGCAAACCCACTGAAACACTCTAGTAACCACCTAGCAATGCCCTAGCAACCATTCACAACACGTTTTTTTTTTTAGAAAATGTAAAAATGTGTGTTTCATTCCTAGTTAGCATGTGCACAGTACTTGAGGCTTTGTTAACAGAAGCAAAGTTAGAAACTCAGTAGTGGGCAGTATACTAACAATTTTCAGTTTAGCTCTATCCTATAAGAATGCACTGCAGATTAATTTAGAAATTCTCTGTGACCGTCATGAAAGAGCCGAAGACACTTTTGTCAAAGTCAATCTCTTTTGTCAAAGAACAATTCATGCCTAATGATTTCCGCAATCTCTATATTTAAAGTCAACATGAAATCAATAGCAACTTGATTTTCTGTCTTACTGAGCCTTTCTTGGTCTTATTATGAATGACTCTGCGCTTTTTTCCAAAGGAAAAAATTTTTAATAAATTGCTCTAAAATTACCTGTTTTCGACCCCTCCAACCACCAATAAGGTGGTCAATAAGGTTTGTTTTTAAAAAAGAATTTAATACTTTTATAATAATAATAATAATTTGTTACATGTATATAGCGCTTTTCTGGGTACTCAGAGCGCTTTACATGAAAGGGGGGGAATCTCCTCAACCACCACCAGTTATTATTCAGCAAGGATGCATTAAAATTGACATTAAAGACCAGTGTTGGGGAAAGTTACTTTTAAAAGTAATGCATTACAATATTGCATTACTCCATAAAAAAAGTAACTAATTACGTTACTTAGTTACTTTTTATGGAAAGTAATGCATTACATTACTTTTGTGTTACTTTTTAAATCTGGACAGGGCTTGCTTGTTTGTTTTTAAAATAAAAAAGTTATAGAGATGAATTAATTCATATTCATATTTATTTTGAACTACAGTAACATCTTCTGATTTCTGTCACCATGGCAACACCAGAGCTGTCAATCAGTAAATTGGAAAAAAAGTAACTTGCGTTACTTATTTGAAAAAGTAACTCAGATATTCTCTTGTAAATTAAAAAGTAATGCGTTACTTTACTAGTTACTTGAAAAAAGTAATCTGATTACGTAACTCGCGTTACTTGTAATGCGTTACCCCCAACACTGTTAAAGACATTCAAAATGTTATAAAAGATTTATATTTGAAATTTTGCTGTGAACTTTCTATTCATCAAAAAAAAACAAAAAAAAAGACAATGTAATGCGTTACCCCCAACACTGTTAAAGACATTCAAAATGTTATAAAAGATTTATATTTGAAATTTTGCTGTGAACTTTCTATTCATAAAAAAACAAACAAAAAAAAAAGACAAAGTTTGCACAAAAATATGAAGCAGCACAACTGTTTTCAACATTGGTAATAATCAGAAATGTTTCTTGAGCAGCAAATCTGCATATTATGATTTCTGGAGCATCATGTGACACTGAAGACTGGAGTAATGATGCTGAAAATTCAGCTTTACCATCACAGGAATAAATTACATTTAAAATATATTAAGATAGAAAACAGTTCTTTTAAATTATAATAATTTGTCACAGTGTTACCGTAGAGACTTTCAAAATCTGTACATACCCACGCTAGTGTCCTTGCTGCTCAGTCAATAATTTCTCTGTCATTGTGAATTTTTTATTCATTTATTTATTTATTATAATTTCTCGAAAGATTCCTTTGAAAGGTTCCTGATTCCTGAAAGGAAGAGACCAAGGTTGCATAACATCATGTTTAATGATCTAGAACAAATTCAAATGAGCTTTGGAGATAACCAAGTAAATAGATGCAGTTTTATGTTTGTGCCCTACCACCGAATCGCACAAAGAGTATTATGGGACATTATAAGAAGCAATAGATACTGCCTAAAACCTACATGATGAAAGCATCTTATCAGACAGGATGTTGAGCAAACAGTGAATTTGGATGTGCTCTGGTGCCTTCCTACTTCTATTATAATTTTTCAGGCTTTGATCCACTTTTCACTGTCCAGTCCTATAATCATTATTTTTTTCCTTCACCAGGAGCCAACATGACTTGAACATCCAAAAGAGTCTCGACGACTCGTGCAAAGACGAGCAGGTGTTCCTGCAGCGGCATTACCCGTCATTAGCTTCCCGCTGCGGCTCGCGCTACCTGGCTCGCACCCTGAGCCGACTGCTCATGCATCACATCAGAGACTGTCTCCCGGAGCTCAAGACGCGAGTCACGGTGCTCACCGCCCAGTACCAGTCCCGACTCAACAGCTACGGCCAGCCAGTGGAAGACCACAGCGCCACCTTGCTGCAGATCGTCACTAAGTTTGCCACCGACTACTGCAACACCATCGAAGGCACTGCCAGACACATCCAGACCTCTGAATTGTGAGTACCTGGACCACCATGCTGTAGGATGTTTTTTCTGCAAAACAAGTTGTTTTTCTTATTGCCTCTAAAGGTCTTTCTACATTAAAGGCATAGTTCTCCCAAAAATGAAAGTTCTATTATCATTTAATCAGCCTTCACTTCACTATAGTTAAAATAATCATCGCAAACAGCATCACAAACTCACATGGCCATAACTACAGCTCTCAAGCTGACATAAGAGGAATCATGTGACGAACTAAACATCATAAAGCAAAAACTAGTGAAGTAGTCCTCAGATGCCACGTTCGTTACAGCAGCATTTCGGACATCTGAAAGTACAGCTTTTTCTTTACTCAGGAAACACTAAAACATTAAAGGCTAATGTTTTTTTGTGTTTGAGGAGCAGAGAAGTCAAGCATTTGCTGTCTAGTGATAACCAATACTGTCAATAGCATAGCACTTCAGCTTCTATAACATATTTTCAGGGTTTCTGCAGGATTTTTAAGCTCAAATTTAAGACTTTTTAAGACCTTTTTTAAGACCTGCACAAATAAAATTAATACCATATGAGCGGGGTATGGCAATGTCTATAGTACCATATTAAACTAAAATTACTGTAAAAAGCATAATTTACAGTTCAGATACAAGTTTTCACAAAAACAAAGAGTTTTATAAAATGATAAACTCTACATTTCAGCCTTTAAACTATTTTTAAAAGTATTTAACTATTATATTAATTTAAACAATTATTATTGATAAATTATTATATCAATGAAATAACATAAATTAGGGGTGTGTGATATTGACAAATCTCGATAATTTTATGGGATTTTATTGATAACGACAATTAGACGATATTTCACTGAGTGTGTTATTGTGCTGATATCTTAAAGGCAGAGTATGTGATTTTTCAAAAACACTTTAGAAAACTGATTCGGGCCGAATCGCAAAACAAACTTGTAGCCAATCAGCAATAAGGGGCGTGTCTACTCGTGATGTGGAGGAGAGCGCGTTCAGTGCATGGGACGGACATTAGCCGAGCCGAGCGACAGAGAGATAGAGATGGCGGATAAAAAACAAAAGAGGAAAACGTCTGCGGAACGATAAGTCTGAAGTGGCATTTAGATGCATTTACACAATGTTTAATGCAGCTCTGAGGAACATTAAATACTTTAACCTGCAGTTACAAATGCATAAATAATGTTTTGATATTTTAAACATAAAACATTAAAAACTGATGTTTGAAATTATTTTAAAAATGAAAAGGTACCTTAAATATGAAATTAAAACCGCCAGCAGGTGGCAGCAAGTCACTGTTAATAAGTGAGTCATTGCGATTGAACCGAATCATTAAATGGTTGATTCATTCAGGAACGAAACACCATCATGTTGCTCAGAGACGCAAAACAGCGCTGTGACTGTGTTTGGAATTATTTTTGTTGGAGAAATAGAGCAAAAACGGGAAATATGGTAAAAACTGTTGTTTTGTTCAGAGTTCAGACCAATGCAAAATTTTGTGCATAACAATGTTGTATATCGCAGAAAATCATGTGATTAATCGCAATTAAACATTTTAATCGTTGCCCAGCACTAATATATGCTGTATATATATATATATATATATGTATATGTATAAATACACATACACATACACGCACATATATTCAATCTGCTAGTTGGAAGAACCTCAGCAACTTTGATCCCCTGAGATATGGACAATGCAAACTCAGCGTATCAACATACAGGCAACATATCTTTTCTCGTTAAAACGTCATCTTAGAAAATCTCTTTATTTCTTTTTGTTCGTATTTCGATTTGTTGTTAAATCAAACTTCAGTCATTCAAATAAAGAAATATTCCAAGTCCAGAGTCGATTATTCAAAAATAACGGTTTTGATCTGATCATAGCCTAAGGGAGTCATGGGTATGAGTGCAGTTATTGGATAGCACTATATTGTAGTCAGATTGGAGATTAATCCTAATAAACATGCCACTACAATTAAAACCATTACATTCAAATACATTTAAAACAGTGTATTTCAGTAATTTCAGCAGCGTGCAGATCCTCGTTTATGTCAGACTGTGGCGATAGCAGCGAGGACAATCGCTTAGCTCGCTCACATAATGTACCATATATCTATTATAACGGGAAAACATATTGTTTATTATGACATAATATGTCGTTATTACGAGAAAAAATGATGTTTTAACGAGAAAAGCTGTCATTTTAACGAGATAATTATATTGTTTTTATGACATAACATCTCGTTTTTATGAGAAAAGATGTCGTTTTAATGAGAAAACATCTTGTTATTATGAGAAAAGATGTTTTAACACGATACTTGTCATTTTAACGACAACATCTCGTTTTTATGAGAAAAGATGTCTTTTAATAAGAAAACATCTTGTTATTATGAGAAAAGATGTTGTTTTAACAAGATAATTGTCGTTTTAATGACATAACATCTCATTTTTACAAGAAAAGATGTCGTTTTAATGAGATAATAGTCGTTTTTACTACATAACATCCCGTTTTTACGAGAAAACATCTCGTTATTACGAGAAAATATTTCGTTATTACGAGAAAAGATGTCGTTTTAACGATAAAAGATGTCGTTTTAATGAGAAAAGATGTAGTTTTAACTAGAAAAGATGTTGTTAAAATGACATCTCGTTATTACGACATAATTGAGTGGAAAAAATTATATGTGTGTGGCAGCAATGCGTCACCGTACATTCTAATGCCACCCATTCACTGCAGAGGATCCATTGGTAAGCAAGAGGTGTAACGCTACATTTCTTTTTTACAGTCTATGGTTGAGACGCGTGATGACGCTCATCCCAAGCCAGTACTGATCAACATCCCACCCCTCCTGTGACCCATGGTTTGTCTGTATGTGTATTCAGAGCCATATATATATATATATATATATATATATATACATGCATACAAGAAGTGTAACATCTTTTTGCCTTCAGCCATTGAGGCCACATTTTTTTACTCATGGTTGTAAGCAGCCAGTGTAGAAAAATAAGGTTTTTATTTTAAAATTGCTTTTTCATGACTATTTTCACCCCACAAATTATTTTTTGCCCATTTTTGTGTTGCTTCACACAACAGAAAGAATAAATAATATAGGCAATAGACACTTCATACCTTTAAATTTTAAAGTTGGCTTGAAATAAAAATTTACTATCTATCTATTACTAAATTACTAAATCTATGTTCTAAATTGATTTTTTTAGATCTTATTGTGAACGATTCATCCATGTATGTTTCAATGTTTAAAAAATGTTTTAACCTCATAATTTTTCAGGGTTCATGCAGGGCCATATAATGTCTTAAATTTAAGGGCATAAAAAGTCTTAATAGTATAGCGCAAGTCTTTATTATCACTTTAAGAGGACTTTCCCCCCAAAATTAAAATGATCATCTTTTACTCACCCTCCACCAAACAGTTGATGGTAGCCATTGATTTGCAAGGTATTTTTTTCCATACAGTGGAAGTCAATGGCTGCCGTCAACTATTTGGTTACCAACATTCTTCAAAATCTCTTTCTTTTGTGTTCAGCAAAAGAAAAAGTCATACAGGTTTGGAACAGGTGGAGGATGAGTAAACAATGGCAGAATTTACGTATTTGGGTAAACTGTCCCTTTAAACTTGGGAACTGAAAAACAGGAATCCCATTTAAAAGTTTAGTAAAGCCAACCAGTTAGGCTTGAGCTTGTGATCTGAGAGAGCTCTTGCCATTTTTGAGTGCAATGATCATCAGACAGTCAGTTATTGTGGAGCCACTTACTAAAGGTTGCCTTCTTACACCATGCTATTGAGTTTGACATACTGTCGTTACCAAGGCTACATTCCTGCTAAATCTTTTTTTCTGTGACTTCGGCAGCGTCTCAGTCTGTCATTTTCGCACTGAAACTCATGACAGATATCAAGCACACCATGTTTACTTTGTCTGCTTGGCTGAATCTGACAGGCAGATAATCCGTGAGTCTGTCCAGCTCCTTATTTACACCCTGTTCACTGTTGGATGAAATGCTGTTCATCTCTCATATCTGGCTCTCATAAGTCCACACCAGCTATCGATTAAATAAGTGCCTCATATTGACGTTTTCTGGCTGGATGGTTGGGTCCGACTCCAGGCCTGTGTGCCAACGTGTCTGTGAATCCCAAAAGAGCTGCATGATTTAAAATTTTTGTGGTTTGTGTGTGAATTTGTTAATTGCAGGTGTGGAGGAGCTCGTATCTGTTACATATTCCACGAGACGTTTGGAAGAACCCTGCAGTCTATTGACCCACTTGGAGGGCTCACCGAGCTAGACATTCTCACAGCTATTCGAAACGCTACGGTATGATATTTACATGTTTATGCATGTGTGTGTGTACAGATAAGCATATACAGTACTTTTTGAAAACCTTTGTGGATCTTCTCAACTTCCTTTTCTCATTTTCTTAGAAGTAAAGTGTGCAGTTTCTGCAACACCAAACGTCTCGGTTATGTATGTAACCCTCATTCCCTGAAGGAGGGAACGGAGACGTCACGTTGGTGACCGACGAATTTGGGATCTCACTTCGAGAGACCAATCTACTTCGAGTGTAACTAAAAGAGCCAATGCACATTGGCATGCAATTATTGCATCCAGCTGTCGCTGATCACAGCGTGAGCATAAAAAGGCAGCCGGTGCAATGCATTCCAGGTTTTCGCTGAGGAGCCGAGCTGGTGATCCGGCTGCTCAGCGATGGTACAGCAGCCGTGGCGACGGGACGTGACGTCTCTGTTCCCTCCTTCAGGGAACGAGGGTTACATACGTAACTGAGACGTTCCCTTTCAGTCGGTCACTCTGAGTCACGTCGGTGACCAACGAATTGGGATCCCTACCAAAGCGCCATGGATGCTACCTCTTCCAGTGTCCTGTGCGAGCCGCCTCCGCCCCTTTGTGGTGTAGGCCGGGGCTCGCAACAAGAAGACCAGTCACTGTTGTCATAGCACTACCCACTCAGTGAGATTGGATAACACTGGGAAAACATACCCGTTCCACTTGGAACAGGGACGCTGCGGAAGCCC